ATGAGTTGCAGGTTTCCTGCCAGACATGGAACTCGGGATAGATGTTAGTGATTTCTATGAGAAAAGGCACATTCATTTGCAGAGGGAAGGGTTCTATTGAAAGGTATACTGATAACATTTCTTAATGTTCTTGTTGGAAAAGGTTCAACCAGGGTCAAAGGTACTTACTTCCAATCTTATTAGGTGGATTTTGCTGTCTAATCTTGCAAGGGATTTTGATGACCTTTGAGCATGTTATTTCCCTGTCTATGAATGTTCTTCCTGATCATTTACTAACTCTGAAGCAGGGAAGTATGAGTTCTGGGAATATGTAGACAGACCTTTGTAGCATTTGAATATTCACTGCTTAATCCATGAGTATTTGTTGGCTTTTCCCCAGCTTTTTTATGTTAGTGGGAATGCAAACTCTGTGACACAAACTGTGGTATTTGAAAGTTGCAAGAGTGCCTTATTTATGGGAATTGACAAATGAGAGATTTCCAGGACAGTTTCATTTATATCAGAATGATGAAGAACTGTAGGTACTAGCATCTGGGAGGAAAAAGCTCATTAGAAAATTTAAAGGATTATTGTTGAGCAGGAGGATCAAGGAGAACATAATATTTTTAAAGTTTCTCTGGTCTAGGTGGGCCCTGAGTAAAAACACATTCTCCTGCTCACTGCTGCCTGCCTGATAGCATAGATCTGTAGGACTGGAGGAACCTCAGGAGGTCACCTGGTCCCTCCTTTTGCCAAGAGCAGGATGAATGTCACTGATGGCTATTTAATCTGTGCTTCACTAGTTCCCCTGAGAAAGATCCAAAATGAGCTGGCATCTTCTGCCACCTACCTGTTCTTTTAGTTATGGAGTTTTACTTCAGAACTAAAATCCATCTTTCTTGTTGCCACCAGATAATCAGCTGATTAATTTTTATTCTGTTTTCACCAGAGATGGGAAACAATCGATCTACCTTGTGCATGTTGGAAGGCCATTTCTTCCCCCGACCCTGCAGCCCCTTTATATGAGCAATAGCTCGTGGACTTGGGCAAATGAAGCTGATAGCAAATATCTTCTTTCTGTGGACTGCTTACACTCACCTTCCCAAGCAGACCCTCTCCAGTGGGCAAGAAAGTTCAAAATCAAGAGTACCCACTACCATTTCCATGGGCTTTTTGAATGTTTCTGACCGTGATGTGCTTGCTCCTAGTCATTTATCAGCTCAATGCTTTAGAGATTCTTCTGCTATTTGTTCTGACAGACCCAGACACCATCCCTTGCCCTTTCTGGGACAACCTCAGCGATACGGGCAGTGAGACTATGCCTTTGTCTCATACTGACAAGCATTTCTATGTTAGGTTCAGTACCTTCATAAGGTTTGACTAGGTAAGAGTGCAGCCTCAGTTCTCCTGTCATACCAACATGTTTTCCTTGCAGCTGCCAACCCCTGGCAGTGTAAATCCCACATATCTCATGGTGGTCATGCAGGAATATTGTATATTTCCTCTTGTGTTCTGATCGAAGGTCTCCAAGAAAAATTGGGGAAGCGCTTTGGAGTAACAGTGACCTTTCCACTCTAAATATCTGCTGTAATTTGTTTGAAACCATTCACATCTTATTCCTCTTCTGTGGCTCCCATCTTTCTTGGGGTCCTAACAAGGCTTGTGTCAGCCTCGATTGATGGAGAGATATGAGAGCAAGGTGTAAAAAAGAGTGGACATCTGGCAGGTAAAAATCAACTCTCATGTGATATATTTTACTGGGGTCAGTTCAGTCGTGGTATCCCAGAGAGGGATAGCTTTCCTGCTCTTGGCAGGATGGTCAGGATGGAGGGATGAGAGCCTGAGACCAGCTGTTGGCCTTGAGCTATGCACCTTGGATTACCCTTGAGTTGCAATATTGTCCAAGTAAAGGGAAACGTGGGAAGTAAAATAAGACCCCCAAATAGAGAACGGTGTATAAAATATGTGTGTGTGTCTGTGTGCCTGTATGTATGCCCACATACACAAATAAACATTTTCCTAAAGGTTTTAAACAGTTAATGATGCACCTGTTGTAGAAGGATTTTTAATGTTATTCAGAGACGTTTATATAAACTTAATACAAATGTATTCAAACTTTTTAGGCAATAAAAAACTCTGTGCAAAGGGCTGATCCTTTGAGATCAGTGACAAAGGAACATGAAGAAAAGAAACCATCTAACTGCTCCCTTGGCAGAAGCACAACACCGACTGGCAGGAGGACACCTCACCAGGGAAGACTGACACCTTTTGAACAAGAAAAAGTAAGTCAGTAGCAAGGTCTATTTAGACTGCCTTTGTTGTCTTTTTACAGCGTTGTTCATAAGCTGGACTGGGATCCTGATTAGACCCAATCATCAAAACCCATCGTAATGAGACAGGTCACGACAGGAAGACAGGATTTGGATCAATGAGGTGCATGGCCAGGCACGGGCATGGCTGCGATGCAACCTGACGTGGACCAAGAATGGGAGCTGCTGGAATGCAGCTCCCAAGAGAAGGGACAGGGCAAGGGGATGGGGGGGACGGTCCTCTCTGAGGCTTCTTCCAGCTCCTCCATTCCTGTCTCTTTCACTCGACTCCTGGAAAGGGGAAGTGCACTCTGGCCATGTCACTGATAGCTCCCATGTTACAGTGAAGCGTGGCTGTATGTCAGGGTCTCTCCATTTTGCTTCAGGTTGTATATCAACCCTCTGTTACTGGGAGAAGAACAGAAGACAGGAAATCACCTGGAGCTGTCTCGCATCTGAGTGGTGGTTTTAAGGAGCCTAACTCATCTTCCTATGTAAAAGGTAAGATTTGTGGGAACTTTCTGCCTGCTTAGAGTGTTCTGCAAAGGACTAGGAGACACTGCTCCCCAGCTCCTGGCTCACAGGCAATATGTTGTCACTAAAACTCTCCTGTGATTCTTTCTAAGAATCTTTCTAAAAATTATGAAATTTATATTTTTCAAGAGAGGGAGAGCAGATTGTGCTGTTCCCTGCTTACTCACCGAGTTTGTTGTTCTGGAACCCCAGGTGGGAGAAGTCTGCACTTCACTTTGGTCCAGGACACAGCACAAGCTGATGTGCAAGCTGTTAGCAAACATTATCAGTATAAGCAGCAATGTGTTGCAAGAATCTGAGAGCCAGCATCTTTAAAAAACCTTCTGAGCTAGGTATGGAAACATGTGATTCAGCAATTTTCACATGCTTTTGATGACCCCTTTTACTTTGCTTTTTCTTACAGGCAGGTCTTTGCCCATTTCAGATAGCTCAGAAGACATGCCCTTCTCACATAACCACAGCAACAACACTTGCACATTTGCACTCTGCAGTAACAATGAAGAAACGGAGGTATTTCACCATGTAACTCTCTAAAATAATTCAGTGATTCTGTGATATTAGTTTTCATATAAAGCATGCTAACTCCCATTCAGCTGGGAGCAATACTCTTCTGGGTTTATTTTCTTGCCTCTGCTCATAAGTACACTCTTTAAAACAATATTGCAATGGCTTGCAAATAAGATAGTAGATTTTTTTATCTAGATGTTCCTGCACAACTGTTGGACATGAACAGATTCATGTTGCTATTTAACATTTTCATTTCCTCTCAGGAAGAAGAGACTCTTAACCTTAAAAAGACAGAAAAATCGCTAAAACCTCAGAGTAAAGTGGCTTCTGTGACCACACACAGGAGAAGTGGCATAACTGCATATGACAACAAAGTATCTACAGACAGTTCTCCTGTTTTTCTGGATGCTGAATCAAAGGTTTAAACAACTTATTATTCTGGCTCTTCTACGATCAGCAACTGTCTTCTTTCCATTTGTGAACTGAAATAGAACACACCAAGGAAAAGCAAATCTTCCACTCCTATTTCCTATGCTATGCAGCGGACACAGAGCTTTAGCGATGGATCTGGCAACTTCAGGCACTGTGTTCACAGCTTTTTACTGGAGCAGATAATTGCCCTGTGGGGAGCAGTACTCCCTCTTCCTTTGGATCCCACCATTCAAAATACACCACATCTCCAAACTGTAATTAACATCAGCCAGTAACTGTTCTGGATGCTATGGTGCCAGAGGTCAATTAACTTAAGGACCCAGTGCAGAGAGCACTCCTTGTAATGGTAAATTCGGTGGGTAACATCCTGAATAGCCCTTAGTTACATAGTTAGCATTACCTACAGTTAACATCCCTGTAATTTGTTTTGAAGAGTGCAGCTAGCTAATACAGGCACCTCACTTTGCAAATCAGTAACCCACTATTCAGAGACAGTTCTGTTCCTTCTTCTTGTGTTTATTCTCTCCACTTCCTATAGTGCAGTTTGGCAAGAATGCACTCTTGTCACCTCATTTTTGGACTTTATGCTATCTTTTGCTTTGCAAACTGAAGTTTTGTGCAACATTTCTAGTTATGTCTATTCATTACAAATAGGCGATACCAGAAAAAAGGGCAGCTCTCCTCTGTGTGTGTGAAAGTAAATACATTTTTTGCACAGTTGATTAAAATTATTTTCATTAATTTTAAAACATTTATTTTTACATAATACTGACTGTGATGTTTTCGTAATACAGCCTCCAAAATCAATATTATCTAGAAGGTCAATGTTACATCAAGAAAGAAGAAAAAGTGAGGAAGAGGTGCAGCAAAAAATAGAGTATCGCGATGGAAAGGTGAGATAAAATAGGATGTAAAAATACTTGAAGAGATCACCAATAGGAAGTCACTACTTCAAGTAACCATAGACAATTATGCCTCCAATTAAGTGTCTGTTCCTTAAAGAAGAGCTGAAGTGTGAAGTTCACACCATGAATGGTAGGAAATATGTTTAGCGGATGGGCTGGAAATCAAGTAGCCAAATGATTTTCTTACCTCCCACACAGCTTTGCTCTATGACTTTGACCAACTCCTTTTTGTTTCAGCGACCTCATTTGTGGGCTGGGAGGAATGATATACTTACCGTTAGAAATGGAAAAGTGGTAGTGAGGTAGTGATGGTGTTTTGTGGTGCAAGATTAAAGGCCATTGTTTTCTTTCCTTGGAAGCGAAATCTAATGGCAGTGAGCCATTGTGGGAGACACCACTTGTGGGAGAAGCCTTTCATCATACACAGCTGGCTACACCTGCAGTAGCATCAGTGGTACATTGACTGAGTTGTCAATTCTGGATAAGGTTTTTGGCTAAAGTTAAGACAGTAATGCAGTTTCTGTGTCTGGGCTTCTCTTCTGACCCTACCAATGCAGGTGTTGATTAATGAAACGATGAACAGTCATAGAAATGGCTTTTGCAACGTAACAGTTGTTCAGAGAATACTGGTTTGAGATGATAATTCTTTTATAGCTAATGCTGAGATGGGCTCTGCGAAAGCTTCTACCAATCACAATTCCCTCTTCTAGAGGTAGCAAATACAATATCTGTTGGTTTGATCCTCGAAAGAAAACTAATTGTGAAAAAAAGTTCACTCTGACATTTTTCCTGCACTGCACACCAAAACCCTACAGCCCTACAACCTCCCACACTGCACTCACAAACCCTGCACCCCCCGAACCTCCACACTGCACTCACAAACCCTGCACACCACCGAATCCCCAACACCCCCCGCACCTCCAAACCCTGCACCTCCTGAACACCCACACTGCACCCCAAACCCTGCACCCCCCCGAAATCCCACACTGCACCCCAAAAACCTGCACCCCGCCCAGGTGGGCTGGACTTTCTTGTGCAACTAGAGAGAGAGGTCAAAATGGGGACTGATACCTTTAGGAAGAGATAACTCCCCTCCTTTAAACTACGTGGACTTCTTGTAGCAATGCCTTTTGTCATAAGTAAGTATAAGAACATCTTTCCATTATGAACTAGTTAATGGTTAAATAAAATCATTTCTAAAACCTAAAATCTTGCCCTCAATAATCATTATAATGCCTGCTTGGGGAAATACTGCATTTCTCTTCCCCCAGGTTATTTTTTTTTGTTTAGTTGGTTGGTTTTTTGGGGGGGTTTTGGGCTTTTTTTGGGGGGGTTTTTTGGTTGGGATGTATTCCCTTTTTGTGGAGAGTCTGATAAAATTGGAATCACATGGCAGAGCTATGTTGCATCTTCTGGTTGGCTTCTTCTTTGGACTTCACCAAATAAATTCTGTTACGGGTTTTGATATATGCTGAACAGAACCAGCTGTCATAGTAATTCCAGGAAAATTGATTAACCAGAGGCTGTGCTAGGTATGAAGTCTTATTTGACCAATGTATTGTTTGTAGAAAAGCACACTGGTTTTGGTTGTCTAGAGCTAATTTTCTTCTTAGTAGCTGGAATAGCGCTGTGTTTTGGATTCATTACGGGATTTAGAATGAGAAGAAACCAAGGATGTTTACAACTTCTCATTTTTTGCTAGTGTGCAGGTGCACAAGAAGCTGGGAGGGAGCATAGCCAGAGCAATTAATCCAAACTAGACAATGCCATACTGAGTCATACTCAGTATATTAATGTGGGTCAGCTGGGAAGGTAATTGCTCTCTTCTGGGATCGCAGTTTCAAGACTTTCTTTGCTTCAAGATCACTTGCTGGGAACGGGCTGGGCCATGGTCAGCAGGTGGTGAGCAGTTGCACTGAGTATCACTTGTTTGTATATATTATAATTATCATTATTATAGTTATTATTTTTAATTTTATTTCAATTATTAAAGTGTTCTTACCTCAACCCACGGGACTCCTTATCTTTACCCCTCCAATTTTCTCCCCCACCCTCCAGGACAGGAGAGAGAGAGAGGTGCATGGTGTTTGCCACTGACTGGGTTTAAACCATGAGGTATTATTGCCCCCCTGTTGTAAAGAAGTTTTGAGCAATTTTGCAGCTCTCTGCACGCAGCCACATTCATTTCTGTAGTTCTGAATGTCTCTACAGGGTTATGTTAGTTGGAATATATGTCAGCAGTCTGTGTTAATACACCAAGTTCAGTCATTTCGGTTCACACAATCCAGAACCAGGGTCTCTTGAGTGACTTGTGTGGAAGGTGTACCAGCATATATGACATGAGTACAGACAGTAACTCACTGAAGGTGGTCAAGGAAAAACCTGAATGGCTTCCCTATTGCCACACAGGGCTGTGTGTCTTACCTCGCCTAACAGAAAAACAAGGTGGTGGGGTGGGAACTTGGGCTGAGTGCTAGAAATAAGTTCATTTTGTGAAAAGAAAATTCCTTTAGGCCTCTTTTACACCCAAATGAGGAAACAGTAACGTACCTGTGGTGCAGAGATAGCTTTTGAAATACAAAGACATAGTGTGACTTACTACACGCTCCAGTTTAATTGGAAGGTTGTGCGATGTTAATTTCTTTGACTTCATTTACAATAGATGCTCTATGTGTTTTCAGGTAGAAGAGGTGCTTACTGATGGACGTCGAATCATCACTTTCCGCAATGGTACCAAAAAAGAGATCAGTGCTGATAAAAGGATGACAACGATCAGCTTTTTCAATGGAGATGTAAAGAAGATCATGCCGGATCAAAGAGTGGTATGTAACTTTTTTTTCTACAAGGAAAATGAAATGATTAAGCGATTTTCCAACAAGGTCCTATCATTTATCTTGATCTATCAATTCTGTGAGAAATGGATGAGGAAGGGTGTTGGTTTAACAATGCCGAGTGGTGAAACTGCTTCATCTACAAGGACAAAATAGGAAAGGGACTAAGGTGAACAGTCAGAGGAACAAAGGGGTAGTTGGCCAAGAAGACTAAAGGAGACTAAAAGAAGGCCAAGTGCAGGCGCAGCCATCTGAAGCAAGGACTGGTTTTTTATATATTTGTAGGATAGGTAGCATAGGGAGTTCTTCCCTCTTGGCACTATGTAAACATAAATAGTTAACAATAATGTGAGCTAGAGTGGAAAAAAAGGAGGCCTTGGCAGCAGTGGGACTATTTTAAATTAATAGTGCATGGATGGGAGCCAAAGCAAAGAGGTGGGAAGATTATTTTCATGCGTGCACTGTTCTCTTGTATGCTACAGAGATGAAAGTAGCATTATCCACACACAGCCGTGAGGAGGGGGGTGAATGAGAGGAAGGAACAGCTATGCAAACATAGCTACTTTTATGGATGCCAGATACAGAAAACGACTTTGAAATGACTTTTTAAAGATGCCTTATTTTTAAGCACATTGTTATGGTTGAATCTCCTTATGCAAATACTGTGAACATGCTGCAAACACTTAATTCTCCTTCCAGATTTATTATTATGCAGATGCACAGACAACCCACACGGCTTATCCAGATGGCCTGGAGGTGCTGCAGTTCCCTAATAATCAGATAGGTATACAAGAGCTCATACACGTGAACTACATGTGCAGGAAAGTTTCAGTTATGAAAGTGTCATCTGATTCTGATTCCAGCAGATTCAGTATTTGCTTTTCATTTTGCATTGTCTTTGCATTTCGCTTCCAGTATGATCCATCACTTTACTGCTCAGTTTCCTCCTACAAATAAGAGATAATAATGAGATGTAAATGCATCTCTTATAATTTTTATTCTCTGATTATTTGATTCTTTAATTTCTCTGGCAGTATATTGCATATAATTTCCATCCTCGCTACAATGTCCAAAAAAATCTGATCTAGCTCTGTGTAAAGCAACACGAAAGAATACTAGACAGACTTTTTACATCTTCTTTTCCACAGAAAAACATTATCCTGATGGCACACAAGAAATCATGTTCCCAGATCACACAGTGAAATGCCTCTATAGTGATGGAATCAAGGAAACCTTTTTCCCAGATGGTACAGTAGTAAAAGTAGAAAAGTAAGTCTCGTGTTATTGACAGGAACCAGGCGTTGAACACAGGTACAATGATACTGACATTTACAACTGTGGTTGGATTCTGCATTGCTGGGAAATTTACAGATGAAAGGAGAAAGGATTTGTAAGATAACGACGGTTTTGCTATAATGTGGCACTGAAAATTGTTCACTTCCAACTTGGGTGATATGTGACCATTTATCACTGGAAAACTGACTGAAATTTTCCTCATCTAGTTCCATGTAACTTTACACTGGGTTGCTGGGAGATAACCAGTTGTCTGTGTTAACAGTGTAGGCACCAAAGGACTTAGGATGAGGGCTCCTGAGCTCTGTTCCTAGATCTTAGGCAAGGCTCTTCATGTGTTATCTCTCTATTCCTCCATATAAAATGAGGAAAAACAACAGCAGCACCTTCTTACTTGTGCTACTTCTGGGCTTAGGGAAGATCCTGTTGTAAAATAGATTTCCTGCTTTGAAAATGCCTTGAGATCTCTGCACGAGGAAGTCATGTAAAATGCAGACCTCATCATGCGTTAGGTATTATACTATGTACTGAAGTACCTTTGTATTGAAATCTTAGTGTGAGATCGCATCTCTAATACCATCCTACGTAAATTCTGAGGTGAATTATAACCTATCTGAGAAAGTTTCCCTTTGACATTAAGAAACGTGTAGATGTGGTGCTCAGGGACATGGGTTAGTGGGTTGGGTGGTGTTGGGTTGATGGTTGGACTTGATGATCCTTGAGGTCTTTTCCAACCTTAATGATTCTGTGATTCTATGATTTTCCACTTTCATTGTGTCACATTAGACAGCTCAGTGAGATAGGTTAATGACAGACAGTGCCTTCTCATCACTTCATTCATTGCTATTCCTTTCAGGAACGGAGATAAAATAGTGGCATTCAGTAACGGCCAAAAGGAGATTCACACCGCGCAGTTCAGGAGGCGGGAGTACCCAGACGGCACAATAAAAACTGTGTACTGCAACGGCAGACAGGAAACTAAGTACTCCAAACTCTCGGGTAATATCATCCTAGATAAGAAGTGATCCCCTCAAAGGGATGCACTGTACGTAAGTAGCTCAACCCCTTTCCTTGGCAGGTCAGAACTGTTAGGAAGACTTAAGCCTCGCAAAAATTAACGGATGGACCTATAGGGCTGAAATTTACTTTGGCTCAGTGACTGCTGCTTAGTTTGGAATAACCTTACCCGAATGAAATGCCTCTTGAGTGAGACTTGAAGGAGATGCAGTCTTGCCTTCTTTGTGTGTGTAACATTAAAATAAATGCACACAGTACTTCTCATCGAAGTGTTTGTTTCATGACACCGATCACACTTTTCCTCGTTTTTTCACTAGCTAGTTACAAAAGTGACTACAGTTAAGGAGCACGGCATAAGAACCTCAAGTCTACAAAGCTTTTCAAATTTCAGTTCAGTGCTGCCTTATGCTGACTAAAACAAATCTGCGTTTTTTGGTGGTTTTTTTTTTTGGGTTTTTTTTTTTTTTTGGTGGAAGTGATTAATGTTTTCAGTTTGGTTAGGCTCTTTGGAGCAGAAGATCTCAGCATGTATCAGGAATTACCATGAGCTGTATGTTAGACCAAAACCTGAGCAGGAGCTGAGTGAACAGTCACATCTCTGGACGTCCCTTCCAACCTGAATTATTCAATAATTATATTATCATAATCTAAGAACTCTGTCTTGTGCATTTAAAGACAAGATGTAATGTTCATTCCACCCTGGTCATTATTTGGATGAAACAGCCCTTTGTTCTTCCTCCAGCGGTCTTTCCTCAGACTCTGTGTTGCTGTGTTTTGAATTAATCTTTGCCACTACTGCCTTTATTCTTCCAGTAGTGCAAAAATATTTCTGGTGAGTCAATCTCTCCAGTTTTAAGGCTCTCTGGATGGCACTTGATACCTAGGGGGATTAATCATTTATCAGATGCTGCTTTCAGCTGCCTTCCCCAAAGACTGCCTGTCCATTATCTGTCTTGAATTTTTCCAAAGCACTGAAGCATCTCCTCTGTAGAGCTCAGCTCATTACCTGCCCATTGACTGAGAAGACCAATTATCTCCTCAAGGCCTTCAGGTTCCTGTAGCAACAAACACACTTGCATAGCATACTGCTTTAGCTTTTTCTCACACCTAAGTGCAAAATAATTGCAAGATTATGGAATTGCTCTTTCTTCTCTACAGTTTCTAGTGGGTCAGACTGTGGACAAATCACCACTCAAATTACCGCACATCTTTGGAAGAAGACTGAATAGAGCAAGAAGTGTTGCTAACATTGATCATACATATGCTGCGATTTATGAATTTAATTATGATGCCCTGAATATCCATGCAGCTTGATGTCAGTGATAACAAAACTGCATTGTTTCTCCTTTACTCCTGTGTAACAAAGGAACAGTTTAGAAACCTGTGGTTTTCACTATGGAAATATTTAATATATTTTATATGTTTTGTAAAAGGAAACTCTAATTAAAAGAAATCCAAGATATCATTCTTTTCCATGTGTTTCACTAAGAATTTCAGTTCAGTGCTGCCTTATGCTGACTAAAAGAAATCTAGGTGGGTTTTTTTTGGTTTTTTTTTGTTTTTTGTTTTGTTTTTTTTTTTTTTTTTCTCTGTTAAGCTTCATAAAAAATGTGATTAAAGTTTTCAGTTTGCCTGGGAAACTAGATGTGACACTAACCTTTTGTAAAGGACCACTGTTTTTGTTCCCAGGAATTCCTTTTAACAAAAGGTCCCTGTTCTGCAGTTAATATGCTGACATTCTCTTTGTTTCTATACTAACACAGAAAAAAAGGCTTTGTTTGCAGCTTTTAGCCTTAAATCACTGTTTGCCATTCAACAACCTGTGTATATAATCACTTCTAATGGTAAATTAAATAAGGAACAATTTTGTTTGTATGCTGCTTGCTCCTTGCTTTATTAAGCACTCTCTACTGTACTTGTAGGAAGCATTCTGATTCTGGAATATTTAGGTCTGCGATCTTGCACAGGTGTAACATATGCATGCAAGTCAGTCTCTAAACTGTGTGCATGCAGAGGTGTGTGTGTACAAACACCTCGCTAATATGTGCATTCACCTTGTTAGCTCCTGCTCACAGGGAGGTTGTAATGGTAGGTAAGTATTCTTGGTTCTGCTATTCCTGGTTCAACTTTCTGGCAAAACAACGGCAAAACTTTAATTGGAGAAGTCAAAGGGTGAGACTACTGAGGATTTCACAGTACTTTTGCCAACCTGTGTGGGTCCATCATTTTTACCAAGTCATGTTTTTCAAGTAATATTTTGTAGTGTAAAAGCAAAGGCATTATTGAAATAAGGGGCACAAATTTGGTTTGAAAAGGAAGAGACAGAAAAACCCCTACGTAAATGACAAGCTCTGTCAGGTCTGTTATAACTGGGAGTCCTTCACAGACCAGTTATGACACATGCCACATTATATTTCTCAGGCTGATTCTCATGCTCTGGCTCCTCTACCTTCCACTTGCATTAGTTAACCTGAAGCAGTAACGGCTCTACCTAGTCCGTTGTTGTAAGAACACAAATAATCCAATTTAAGTGTGATTACGTATTTACTTAAACTGGAGCAATACACATCCCTCCTTTACTATGGTTTTTGTCCTAGAGGGTTTAGTGAACAGCTTTGTGAATCCTTCAGGGAGACGGAACACAGCTGGGAACCCCCACTTCTTGACTTTACACAGGTTTTCTGGCATTAGCAGAAGCATGCTACAGCCAGGTTTTGGCCTCAATTTTGATTCAGATTTAGAATATGCTGTGACTTCTGAACAGGGTTATTTCCCTTCAGACACCTGGGGGCAGCAAAAATGTACAAGGGAAAGGCAGCGTTTTGACCATCAGCTCAAATGCTTCAGTGCAGTGTTAGTATTCTTCTGTGCACAGCTGATCACCAAAGTACCATTGCAAGCAAAACCAAGCTGCCTAACCACTGTACACATCAGGTGGCTAATCAAGAGTCTGTGAGAGAGAGGTTTGATCCAGTCTGTTGAACGTTCACCAGATTCTTCAAAAACCCAATAGTTTTGTGTCATTCATATTACCTGTACCTTTGTAAACTGAGTGCATGTTGAATGCTCCCTGGTGTAAAGTGAACAGTTTTTCAAGTCACAAAGTCCCCTTAGTTAGGAAAAGGAGCAAAGATCGCTGAGAAAAATAATAAACAAAGACTGGCACTTCTGAGGATGTTTGGAGAACTGTAATTCTCTATTTTTATTCTGGGATTACATTAATATTGCAAGAATTAATTTTAAAAATTGGTTAATTTTAAAAAATAACCTCTCATGGTAGTTGCTAAATTATAATTTTAAAATTGTGTAGTTTTTTGAGACATCTCTCTTTCTAATAAAATTGCAGTGTACATCTACCTCCTTCCAGCTAAAATTATCGTTTATGGTGTGTCTATATAACCTAACACCACGAAGTTACACAGAAGTTAAATCGCCTGCGCTTTTTGTTGTTTTCTGCTGTTTTGATGCTGTTTGCTCACTAATTTGTTCATTTCCTTTATGATGCTCTTTATATCTGTCCCACCCCTGGAAGCTTGAAGTGCAGCTTCATTGAAAGGAAAAATAAGGACAAAATCTCCTACACGGGGGACAGGCCTCTGGTCTTTATCAGAGAGGAAATAGGGGCGTGTGGTTAACCTGTAGTTGCAGAAGTCAGGTGTTGGCAACAAGCGGCTGAGTTGGGCAGACTCCCGTGGAGAATGCCCAGCTCCTGCAAGTCGTTCTTTTTTAGCTTCAGCTTTTGCTTGGGAGGGTGTCTGTGGCGTGTTCATCCTTTCCCGCAGCAGGGAAGTCAGTGTTTTTCTTGGATGTGCTCTGGCAGCTTTCTTGGTCAGGGTAGCCACCTTATGAGCTGATCCTCTCACAGCCTGCAGGGCAGGTTGTACAGAAGAAGCAGAAGGACATTTATCCACTTTTTGGCAAGTGAGTAAGCCATGAGTCTCCTCCGTGGCACTCTCACCAGCTGTGCTCCAGGGCACCCGCCTTCTGCCAGCCTTTATCCCAACCACTTGGTTTTGCCTGAAAGAGTCAATCTGCTTGTAGTTCAGCAGTTCAACAACATCATGAAGAAGTTTTCTTTTCACAGTGTCGTCAATGGAACAGTCTAAACACAAGGCTGGGTTGTAGTTGACTTCTAAAAGCCATGGCTTGAATTTGTCATCAATCAGGATGTCAAAGCCAAAGAGCTCAAAGCAGTTGGAAGCCACAGGTAAGGGGGTTACAGCAAGCAGGGTGAGAATCACTATGTTATTGATCTTCTGCCAGAGGACCATGTCATCAACCCCAAATATTCGAAGGTAAGAACGAAACTTGCTGAATGTCCATTTACAGCCACAGCCAATCCCTTCTTTGTATTTTCTATATGAAGCTCCGTTTTTGTTGATGCTGGTGTTTGTTAGGTGGGCATAGACATTGTCCAGAGAACCGAGGTCAAACTTTTCAGTGGCAAACCTCACCAGTCCTTCTTCATAAGTGTAAATTGTGAGGGGGCAAAAACTGGTGACACACACATAAAGGCGCAGATCCAGTTTATACCCTGAAATGAGCAAGGGGTTGCTAATGTACTTCTGCACAATGACTGTACAGTCATATACTAAGTCTTTAATGTCTTGGAAAATTTGTATGCCTCTTCCACGGGAGAGATCCACAGGCTTGCAAATCCAGTAGCAAGGTCTTCTGCCTATTGACTGTCTCTCCTTTCTGTATTCTGCTATAAACTTGACATAGTCATTGGGCATGATGAATGCCACTGGACTAAATTCATACAGAGCTGATCCATATGATCCTTTCATACGTTTCAGATGCCTTGCCAAGTAGTCTTTTCTGGTGATCCGGACAGCTTCTGGGTAGTGGTTGAGTCTCTGCCATGGTTTAATGCTGTGGTGGTCTGTCAAGCGGAAAGGTGAGTTCCGCCAGTACAGGTTCCAGTCTGCGTCGTCTTGAGCCTTTTTGTCAAATTCAGTCCAGCCACATTGCAGTAAAACCTCACGGACTATTGCAGGGACATTCT